GTCCTTACTTTTCAGTCTTTCAAAAATAGTTGGGAAGAATGCTTTTGTAACAGATCCCTTATCAGAAGAGATATAATCACAGTTCCACCGCTCAATCATTTTAGCTTTTGAATGTTTTTTTGAAATAAGATTTTGGAATATTTACATCAACGTTAATATCATTTTAGTTGCATTCTTAGCAAGCGAATCAGCTCTCTCGTTTCCATAATTACCCGAATGACCACGGACAAATGTAAAAATCACTGAAATACCCCTCTTCTCCAGATCTCCATCTCCAAGAGACTGCTGTATATTGAACAATAATATCATTACATAAAGAGGTATTTTTAAGAGGATTCCAGGGAAAGAGAGTGAATCCGTACAGATTAAGTAGCTGGAACCACGTTCCATTCCTGGCTAATTATCCACTTGATTGCAAAATTAATACACAGAAGTTCAGAAATATATACAGTACATTCATTTCTAATGCGAAATTGGTGACACTCAATTTCAATATCATCTTCAAAATAACATAAGCAAAACCAACTTTATCATCAATCCTACTACCATCCGTATACAGCACAAATGAGAATGAATTAACATCAGTGTCCGTACTATCCAGAATCTGTACTGGTTGTCTTACAGAAGGATGTGGTAGAACAGACAAGGGCAATAAACGACCATAGTGAGAATTGGAGTAATTTGCAAGACTATTCTTATAATCTATAAAAGTCAGAATAAACAAATCCAGTGGTGGAAATCCGGCAAGAGAGAAAACAGCATTGTAACTAATAGTTCGGTAACCGCTTATAACTCGCAGCAAAAATTCGTCTTTGAACTCGAAAGCAGGCGTTTAGAGGTTAATTTTCTTTTTTAGAGACAATCCCCAAGCTCTACATCCATATGAAATAAGGGGTACAATGCCTTGTTTATAAATAATTGCGCTAACATTCGATTTAACACCAAAACTATTACAAGCAATTCGATTCAGCCCACGCTGAAGTCTCTCACATTTATTAGAAATGTAGGAAATATGCTTTTTCCAGTTAAATTTGCTGTCCAAAAAAACACCTAGATATTTAATTTCATTCACCCTCTCAAGGGGATTGTCATTTAAAAGCAATTGATATCCTTCATAAGTAGTATTTTTTCTATCAATAAACATGGCCTTGGATTTTGCATGGTTAAACTTTAACTTAAAATCTATTGACCAATGATAAATGAAATCTATAACATCTTGGGCGAGACGAAAAGCTTTTTGCATTTCTTTTCCTTGAATACAAATCAACAAATCATCTGCAAAGGCAATGACTTCACAACTGAAGAGATCAGAAAGTTTCTGTAAGAGATCATTCATAATAATAATCCAAAGCTTGGGACCGGAAACAGAACCTTGTGGACAACCTCTTTGAGGTCGGCGAACACTTGAGGTGCCACCCAAAGTAAGCTCGGCCGTCCTGTCTTTCAGCAAATCAGAAACAACATTAAACACATTTTGAGGTATCTTCATTTCTTTTAGTAAATTGAGAATAGCAGGCCACCATGCATTATCAAAAGCTCCTTCAATATCAAGAAAAATTAAAATAGTGTACAAAACCTCTCATCTTACCCCCTCTGTACAATGTTGCTAAGACGCAGAAGTGCATCCTCAGCACATTTTGAGCAATGAAAACCATATTGGTCAGCACTAAGAATATTTTCTTTATGTAGATGCCAAGTAATTCTGTTAGTTAATTAGTTTTTCAAAACATTTACCTAAAGAAGAAAGAAGACAGATACACCTAAGATTATCACATATGTGGAACAGTGATAAATTTGTTTGTTGGGTATCACAATAACAAGGGCGTTCTTCCAAGTTCGTGGAAATAGCACCAAGACTTCAAACATTATATTAAATAATCTATGAAAAACTGCAGGAAAAAGACGATGGAAGTATCTTATGGTTTCATTGGGAATAGAGTCCGGGCCAGGGAGCTTGGTCAAGCCCTTAAATTACGAATTACATCATCAACCTCGGCCTGCGAAAAACGGAGGATCAATCTGAGACGCATATTCTACTGCGAGCAGATGAAGCGCCACTGAGTATGAAAGTCATTATCAAGTCCTCACACAATCAGGAGGAAAAGCTTTATCAAGAATAGCATCGATAGTTTCCTCCAAGGAAGACGTAAAGTTAACCGCTTGAAAGCTGAAGGCCCGAGATCTCAATCTTCCTCATAAAATTTTCTTTAATACCATAAGTGTAAATTTTTTTCCACACATTCTCATTATTGATATCGGAAAGAAACTTCCTCCAAGACTCTAATTTGGCCTCAATAAGCATTTCATTGTATTTTTTCCTTAAATCAAGGTATTTCCGCTTATACAAGTCCCTTATATCATTGCTAGTAGTCCTCTGGAACCTCCGTCTAGCCGCGTTGACTCTCTTTCTCATAATGGAAATTTCCAATGACCTCCAAGGTACTTTTCGCCTACCAGTCCTTCTAATAGGCATAGATTTAATACATGCCCGAAAAATAACTGAAGTCATCAAAATCTACAATCAGCATCAAGTGAGTCAATACTCGAGCAAGAATCCAAACCAATTAATGATCAAAGAAATATAATGTGAACAATATTTTTCAAAATATCCCCCAATTTTTGCTTTTTTTGTATTAAAACAAAATTCTACTGACAGCAATTAAAGAAGCATCAGAAACAGATAAGTCGAAACCAATCATTTGCATGATCTGACAATGATTCACAGTCCGAGAGACACCAGCGAGTAACATTTGCTAGCAAATCAGCTCCCATAATTGTGACATCTATATAGCTTGATCCCTGTTCCTAACAAAAGGTAGGGCCACAGTCCTCATTGATCACATATAAGTTATAGGAGCTGACAAAATCTCCAAGCTTGTTTCCTCGAGCATCACTGTAGGGACTAAACCACAGTTCAGACTTACTATTGGGAAATCCATACCCCAAATAAGCTTTGCAAGATCCCTAGCCTGGAAAGACCCGACTTATTTTATGCAAATCAAATGTCAATACATCGGGAGGGCTCAAAGTAGTATGAAAATAAAAAAAAAATATTTAGTATCCTTTAAAAATAATATGTCAAGAGTCACCATATTATAATCCAAGAATCTCAAATCCATAGAATTTCAGAATTAGAAAGCATAGAATTTCGGGAAAGATTTCAGCCGCATCCACAACTTTTATATTTTCATTAAATTTCCAAGTGTAATTACAATACAAAACTCCTTTTATTAATCATCCTCTAAATATTAATATAAGAAAGGCTGAAATAAAAGAGAGAAAAACACGAAATGATTCCGGTTTAAATTAATACATAACTTTAATTTTTTTTTATTACAGAAATAGGTTGACGCATGCCAGCTTAAAATATTTTTGCTGATTTTATACTCTTTTTGCAACGTTGTCATTCAGAAAAAAACTTGAAATCATAGTTTAAAATTATTTAGTAAATTTTAAATTGACAACCACATTTCATAACCATTAACATTGTTCCTGAGCCTACTATTTCTCCTTCTACTTTCTTTAGATTCCGTAAATATGAGTCATGTTACGCATTTCAGTTGCATTTTATAAATCTCCTTAAAAAGAATTGAAATTACGATTTCCTGTGTATACTATGTCAACGTCTTACAACCATTAAATTAATCCCAAAGATGTTGTACAATATGCACTTTTCACGAATCTTAATTCTAGTACACTTAACATAAATTCTATATAATTTAGTATAATACTATTTAATGCACACACACACGCAAGTCGAACTTTCCAAACACGAAAGCAAAGACATTTATAAAAATTTATATAAATATTTAATAATAAATTCCTTTTATAATTAACTGATTCCGGACATACTTATAATTTGACACCGTATCTTCAAATAAAACTTAAGGACTGTTTGCCTCACGTTTTGATTGACAGGTTATTAATACTCATCTGCGTTTTTTTTCACAGTTTATTATTAGGGCAACAAGAAATAGCATAATCTATCGATTACGAAGGAAATGAGAACCAGATATACTGCGGTCAGTTAATCAATAGCTTAATAAGGCAAAATGTTTAGAAAATGTATATTAACAAAGAAGTGTTGGATTGCAATTAAACAAACTAGTTAAAAAGTTAATATTTTGAATGCCGATTTCATTTTAAGAGATTTCAGAAACCTTTGTTAAAAAGTCTACGCAGTGCTGAACTTCTAATCAAGACAAATTTGGCATAAAAGAAAGAAACATTGGAGGAGAGTGAGAGAGAGAAAAAGCTTTTGATTATCTTCCATATAAGATGAACTGTAAATAAATGAGAAAAATAAAAATAAATAAATAAATCTTCAAAACTAAAGAATACAAGTAAACAAATGTATTAATGTAATGGTACAAAATACTTAATTTAAGCATTAAAATTTTCTTTTCTCAGATTCCGAAATAAATTTGCCTTACACAAACTTTAACTTCTATTCAGGAAATAATGCTAAATAATACTTAATTTTTACAAAAGCTAATTCATTTCTAAATAAATAAACAAGTTTATGTAACGCGTAGTTATATAATCCTGAAACGTTTACTTATCAACAAGGCTGTTTGGGAAAATGTCCACTTAAACGTTTTTTTGGGCCTTGGTTTCCAAGGTTAACATGCTGAAAGCTGTCATTACAACCTTGACGAACAATACTACTCAAAAGAATGTTACAGAACTAATATTAAGAAATAAAAATGTCCTCCTAGACGAAAAAAGCTTAATTATAAACACTGACAAAACACGCACTACTTGGAAAATAAACTGCAAGCAAGGCTTTCTGAAATATACGAGAATTCCTATCCTAGATTTCCTGCAAATTTTCCGAAAAGTTTAATGCTTCCTGAGATGTTAGGAATTCTGTTTAACGATTATTTTATCGATCACGCACAGCGCGTATAGGTTGTTTGCCTTTGAAGGGATGCCTTTTGCTGAGAACTTCCGTAAGTACGTATTCAAGTTACACATAAGAAAAACTATAAAACACTTACTGGGCCACTCCGTTCGCAAGGATTCGCAACTGCAACTGCTAGTATTTTGTGATCATATCCATTCATCCAGTGGACTTCTGAATGGCTATACAAAGTTAGAAATGAAGGTAGCAATTTTACTTACGCATTAAAAGCTAGAAAATTTATAGAAAACGGCGAAAATTACGACACTTTATTTGCTTTATAGGTTTAAGAGAAATTTTTTAAAAAAAGTAACCAACATTTTTCATTTTTAGGTATAATGCTTTTTTTATTTAAAATTTGCATACTTGTGATTATAATATATTTTGTGAATTTTGATAATAATTACTTAAACTATCACAAAGCACAAAATCTACCAAAAATACTTAATTTAAGCATTAAAATTTTCTTTTGTCAGATTCCGAAATAAATTTGCCTTACACAAACTTTAACTTCTATTCATGTATTCTTTTAACTTCTGTTCTATGTATCAACTACACGTACTCTAAACTTTGCAAAAAAGCAAATAATTTGATTAAAATTCTCTTCTTGCTGGAAAAAAGTCATTGGCATATCTTCTACTGAATACATAAATTTTAAAAGGCTTGCAATTTAACACAATATTAGCTTGAATAAGTAAAATAATTTTTTCACGTTTCAAACTTAAGCCTGAATTCTGTTCTTTATCTCGGGGCAAGTTTTGCCTTAGATGCAAATGTGTGCCCTAGGTTTAGCGAATATTTAAACCATTAATTGACCAGGTGATGTAACATTTAAATCCTATATGAGGGTTTTAATGCGAAATGTAAACTGAAACGAAAGAAACTGAATAAGGGAAATTTCAAGGAAGGGGCAAGAGTACATACCATAATGCATAAATAGCGACAACAAACCAAACACGTGGATATTTAGTGTTAACTAACCGTATTAAATTCAATCTTTACAAGAGTACTAGATATTTCTATCGAAAAGAAGTTCTCTAAAAATAATCTAGTTCCATGGACAAATCCATAAAATTAGATTACAATGCATTATACAATACATTACATTTATCAGGTTCAATGTTCCGCCTTACTTGCTTGGGGAACATTCAAGAACCTGACTCGGAACAAGGAGCTTACTAAAGCTATGTTCAATAAATGTGGGAAGTAGACAAGATACACAGGAAGGGTATACGAAACCCTTTATTTTTCACTCTTTACAATAATTTCCGGACTTCGGAATACAGAGACCAACCACTTGTGGTCTGAACGTAACAATATAAAAATATTAACTAAAACTCTAACTTAAATTTGAAAATATAAACAAGGGCCTACGTGGAAGATTGGCCATATATTAACAGGAAGCCGTATGTAGTAGAGAGCACTGTTAACACTACAATACGTTTAAAAATTATCAAGAGGATTAAACCTCTGGCCTGGAAGGCAACCAGCAACCGAGTAAAAACTGCTAAGGCAAGCGGCCTGGCTCCTACTAACTCCTTCCTCTCTCTCGCTTGGCAAAAAGCCACAACTTAAATACTTGGGCGTTAGCCAAGTACAAATTTGCATAACTAAGTTAAAGCTTTTAATTCTGGCCGGAAGTAGGAAAATAAGAAGTGATAGTAAAAGATTTTAAAATAAAATAAACGTTAGTAAAACTTAAGATCCTTACATCCTTCCCGCCAGAGTTAATTAGTTTGAAACTGAGGTCTAAAACGACCTTGTTGAAAACTTTTAGCTCTAGATTCTAAGTCTAACGCCAGGCCAATCTTTTACAAACATTTCCTCACTAGAAACTATCTAACCCATTAGAAAAAAAATCGTTTTTACATAATCAGCTCCATGGACAATTACTTTTCATCTGTACTGCATCTAAACAGGAGCTTTCTTAGTTGAAATCTGGTTCCTTCCAGAGATCTGGAAGGAAAACTAGTTTAATGAAATGTTACACAATGAAATGGCAAGTAACATGAATATTTATATTTCTCTTAACATTTCTTATTTCATTCATGACTTTATTTTAATTATCTCTCCCCGTGCTCTCTGACATGTGTTGTAAAAGAAAACACCAAACACGAATGTGTTTATGTATACGTGTTCAACACTGCCGCCTACAATCAAAACACTAACGTGTTAAAATTCAACATAACAAGACCTCGTAACACACCCTATCTTCAACTCTAAACCCTGAGGTACTATTCTGAAAGTGGCTAACTCTGAAGTGTAGCGTTAGAGAGCCTAACTACATTCATTCAACCATTAACACATATTCACAATACTTTTCTCTTTTTTTTTTTTTCAGTCACGCGAATAAGTTTAAAATTTTTGGCATTACTTTCACTTTTACCATATCACAGTATTTCTTAACATTTAAAATAACAGTTCACGTTGTATATAAGAACATATTAACATGCCGTTAATTTTACGCATTTTAAAACATACATTAGTAGTACATTGTTAACTTCTATTCTTTTCCAAGCAAGTGCCAATTCTTCTACATTGAAATAATACATTTCAAAAAGTCTTTCAGACTAAAACTTCTTTCTTGTCAGAATGTTTTAAATAAAACTTATACAATAACTTTTACAATATTTAAGTATTTACAAATTCCTATTATACATTAACTTTAGTTTTACGCGCGAGTAATTGAAAAACATAATACCAAAATAGGTAACAATTCATTTCTCGCCTTTTTGGCGATAAAGGTATACCTCACATGACGTAAAACGTCTTGAAATCTGCCACTTGCAGTAAGGATGAAAGATAAACTTAAGTTTGCAAAGTAACATAAAGTTTTACTTATCTTTGTGATATTCGGACATTCTTTTCTCTGCCCAGTCCTGGAAGGTAGCGCAGATTCGTGTTTGATTTATCCTCCTTCTTGTGCGGGCTCGCCCTTCAGTCCTTCCTCTAGGAGCTTTCTTTTCCCTCCAGTTCGGTCACCCTTGAATACCTTCTTTTTCGCCTCTGCCTGTGGTCCTGGCCGTTTGATGGCCGCTGGTCTTGGCGGAACCGGGACACTTCTCTCTCGTTCCTGCTTGGACCTCGTTGCTGGCCGTTCAAATTTTCCTTGTATCTTTTCCTCCGCCGCTGCTGGTCCTTCCGTAATTCGGCGACATTTGATGCGTAGAGTCCTGTCCGATGAGTAGATCTTCCGTTTGGGAGCCGGGTTATAGTTGCCGTTATTTCTCCTGGCTCTCTTTGCATTCGTCGTACTTCTCCCTTTTTCATTCTGGGGGTGGTCGTGCGCTCTCTTTTGTGGTCGGTGGAACGGCTTCTTTTTCTTGTTACCTTTAATTTTCCAACGGGGAAACTTTCTTTTCAATTGCTCATGCCTCCTAATATCTTGTCCTTGTGCTTGTCGTTGTTCCACCTCTGGAGCTTGTGCCTGCAGTGCCTGCCGTGCCGGATCCACTTGTCGGATTCTTTGTTGCTCTTCCTTAGGCAGGTGGTTAAGGTTTAACATTGGCGGTTCCGTTTTTTCTTCTCGAACTGGTTTCATCGTCAGCTTAAGGGACGCTTCATTAAAATCCAGCGTTGCTTCTGCCTCTGAAAGAAAATCTATTCCTAAGATGATATGTGCTTGCAGATTCTTTACTATAAAAAACATAATTTTTACTTGTTCGCCCTTGATACGAACGTATAGCGGTAATTTACCTAAGCACTTACATCTTTCTCCTTGCGCAGCTAACACTGTCGTATTATCCGAATTATATATGCGGTATTTCCGAAAATACTTCCTAAAAAAATCTTCTGACACACAGGAACACTGCGCGTCTGTATCCAGGAGTGCGGTGGCTGGGATGTTATTCACCAACACTTCAATCTTCGGAAGAGTCAAATTTTTCACCATTACTGTATTTAACTTGAAGGAAGAGGGGTTTTCTTGGCCTTCGGATTTCCGCACCCTCCCGTCAGCAGAAATCCGTTTTAGTTTTAAATCCTTTTTTTTTCCATGCTTTCCTTCTTTTTCCACTGGCCTTGAGACTTTTTTCCTGGATTGCTATTGAACTGTCGACGTTCGCCGGCTGTTTTTGGATCTCGGGTTTCCTTGCCCACTGATTCGCTTTGCTTCCGTAGCCGTGTGCTTGACTTTGCTGTGGTCTTGGCTCACCAAATTGGTTTCGTTGTTGATATTGGCGTCTTCTTTCAATGTCCGCCGTTCTTCTACTTTCAAACTGGATTGCTAGCTCAAATAACTTTTCCAGTGTAGTCGGATTCCTTAATTCAATAAAGTCTTGTACTTGGGGAAGTAACCTCGGCAAAATCACTTGAATTATCTCAGGATCCGGACGGTTTCCATACAAGAGTTTGAAGACGTGAATTTTTCTTAAAATAAAGGTGGAAAGATTTTCGATTCTTTGCTGATATATGCTGAAAAGTTCCGTTTCTAATTTCGCAAGATCCCTTACGACAGGGAAGGCTTTTACTAGGGCAGTCTTGAAATTTTCGTAAGTATAGGTGGAACTTCCTGCTTGACCCAAGAGACTTCTGCCTATACATTTGAACCAATTAAGCGCTTGGCCCCTCAAAGCGCTGGTAGCTAAGATAACTTTCTGGAACTAGTGCACGGGATACATTATGAAGTGGTCCTCTAGTTTTTCCAAAAAACTGGTTACCGGTGAGTTTCTCTTAAATGTTGCTTCGGGTTTCATCGCTGCGCGCATGGTCTGGACGATGTAACCAAATCCTTCCAGGGCGGCAGCTGGCATTTCTGGATTCTGAGCCGCTTCTGGAGGCAGCACAGGTTCTTCTTGAAACTCGGCCATGGTTATTCTTCTTCGTCGGGCGCGACTATCAGGTTCAATGTTCCGCCTTACTTGCTTGGGGAACATTCAAGAACCTGACTCGGAACAGGGAGCTTACTAAAGCTATGTTCAATAAATGTGGGAAGTAGACAAGATACACAGGAAGGGTATACGAAACCCTTTATTTTTCACTCTTTACAATAATTTCCGGACTTCGGAATACAGAGACCAACCACTTGTGGTCTGAACGTAAGAATATAAAAATATTAACTAAACTCTAACTTAACTTTGAAATAATAAACAAGGGCCTACGTGGAAGATTGGCCATATATTAACAGGAAGCCGTATGTAGTAGAGAGCACTGTTAACACTACAATACGTTTAAAATTATCAAG